GTATCATTTTTATAAATTTAAAGAAACATTTTTCCTCAAATACTAAGAGAAACCCCATTTCCTTATCTCTTTATAGAATAATAAAGTTAATAAAAGGTTTAATTGTTCTGTAAACAGCAACCAAAAGATTACGTTTCACATTAACAATAGTACCACTTTGAATGTTTTTCTCCTCCTTTCTCCAATAACCCTTTACAAAAGCCATGGAATCTCCACGAAATTATTTCCGTTGAACATTGAATTTAAACATGAAATTCTTAAAGATGCTCCATGTTCTTAAAAGCCCCTCGAATTTCTCTACATTTCTAGAAACAGACCATATTAATATCTGAACTTCTTGCATTTTAATGAACCATCTCTCTTCTATATTCTCAATAACTTTTCTAAATTCTAGTCGATTTAATATGCTCTTGGACATAGCTTATTTTGCTAATCAATCAATATTTGAGTGATTTTCGGCTTGTGCGGCATGTTTCTAGCATAACTTGTGCATCATGTACCCTAATTATTTTTTTGTTATCACGTTTGAGCTGGTCGAATTTTGGAGTGTCTATCAAGGTCTGTAAAACTCAAGCTCAAATATTATTTCCCATTCATTTATTGTGGAAATTAAAACTTGAAAAATTTTATGTTCTTATTCTCTATTATGTAGATCAATTGTCTGTTCAATTTTTTAGAAAATTACTTGCTAAGGAATTACTAAAAAAGAACTGTAAAAATTATAAAGCAAATGTGAAAAATTTATAGTAGAAAAATGTGTGGATGAAGCCTTTTAGAAGAATGATAATCTGAAGATGATTCATTATGACTTGGTGTTCATTGGTAGCAATAAAAATTCCTCTTTGCAATGGAAGGGTAGTATTAACATATACCAACCTCTCTCCAAACTCTATATTGGTTGTAGCCACATATATTGGTTACATTCTTTTATAATGAACGGTTTATCAATTTGTTACTATCATGTTAAATAGATTGGAAACATACCCAATCTTATGAAGAGTATTTTGATAGAAGAGGGTAGGGCTGTCAAAAATTGACCCGACACGCCAACTTGGCTTGAACCCCACTTTAAAAAATCTTCGTTCGAGTTGACCAGATTATATTTTGGATCTGGTTTAGATAAAAAATCTCAATACATTTAATTTGTTAGGTCGGGTTTAAGTTAACCCACTAACCCAAAATTGACTAAAAACTTAATTTGCAGACACCCAACCAAATCGAATTTAACCCAACAACCCAAAATCGATCCAAATTTGACTTGAATATTTGTTATATATATATGGTTTGTGGGTCGGGTTTGGGTCAATCAGGTTGAAGGTGAGTTAGATTTGGGTTGTACTCTGATTTATTTAATATTTGGGTTAAGCTGTTTCGGGTCAGTTCAATTTCAGAACATGATTTGTGATCCCGATTTGACACATCTTGAAGAGGATAGATGGAATCCTTGTTATAACCATTGCTTGGAATTATTGAATTAAGTTAAAAACCAAGCATTGTCCTTGCAAGGAATGATATTGATGGTTCATATTGTTGTTGCAAAGCTTATCGCTAAGACTATTCCATTTCACTCAAGTGGAAAATATCTCCAATGATGTGGTTTTCTTTTCATTGGTTTTAAATTAAATCAATCTGCAATAGTTGATGTTTTGACCTTGTAGCATTACTCTGTCAGTTAAAAAGTCCTAGTGTTTAAAGTGGTAAAGAAGTGACTGATGACTCTTCTTGACATATGAATGCTATCTCATACTAAATTGTTTTTTTGATGTACTATCATGGCTAAAATGTTATTTATAGATATCATTTACATCCTCTACATGTACATAGCACTAAAGATGTTGAAGTAATTTTCGGGCAAGTTGAAAAGTTATTCTTCTCTGTTGTATGATTTGATCTAAACTTGCGCAATTCATACACATGATTTGCAATTATGTATTTTGTTCTATTGAAATTAAAAATCGCACGAGAGCCAATTGTCAACCATGCTATTCATTAATGAGGTTAACCGAACTCTTTGGGTTGTGACAGGCAAAGCATTGACAAGATCTTCTAGAATTATCTCAAACTAGAATCACAGTGTTCTAGAAGGTTTTAGAAGGTTCTATACTAGTCTAGATTCATATGGAAAACTTTGGAAGATTTTATAAGTTACAAGAATAATCTATAAGTTTATACAATTATGTAAAATTCTTTGAAACGTTCTGGATACTTTATGAATAATCATTAAGTCTCCAGACCTCTCTAGAATATTATGAATGTTTATTAGTAGTGTAGAGTGATGTAGAAGTTTTTTAAAATTACTCTAGAATTGGTCATGATTATTACATAGCTTTCTTGAGATACTTCATAGTGTTCTAGAGCGTTTTTGGAAGGTGAGTTCTAGAGTAGTGTGGAGGGCTTCCTTGGACTATAAATAGAGAAAGAAATTTGGTCAACAAGTGGAGAGTGAATCCTAATCTTGTAAAAACTCTTTCTTAGTAAAAAAATTTCTTTTATCCAACTCTCATTCTTGCCTTTCCACAATCTCATTTCTCTCTTGCCTCTTGTGAGAGTGAGTGATAAGCATGGCTTGGCAATTTACTTGTGCTAAGACTGCACATTGCTTGTGTATGACAAGTGCTATTAGAGCCTAGTCGATTTCCGAGTTAAGTGGTATTGAAAGCTTTGTTTAGACATTGTAAAAAGCGGCAGATCAAGTTATAGCATTCAAAATTTTTGACATGGAGTTTTTTTCCATGAGATCAAAGTCATGAGGAGTAATGTGATCTTGCGATATCAATGCTGAGGAGGAAGTCTAATGACATGATCTTTAACCTTGATTCACGCCTCTCTCTAGTGTAGGAGGTTGTGAATGATATGCTTTAGTCGACATCGTGAAATCCTAGAGTTGGAAGATTCCACCATCCATTTTGCAATAAGGAAAGTTATGCTCCAACCAGAGATGTCTTTGATTGATAAGATGGTGAAGATGCATGAAGAGTTCATGGGGAACTCAACAAAATGTGTCAAGCCCTTGAATTGGAAATGTGGGGTGCTTACACTTTAAATGCATGCATGGGGATGTGGCCTTATGCAAGCACACATTAGTGACTAAATTCATTAGTCGACTAAAAAGGTTAGGCACATTGAGGCGCCAAAGCATAAAACCTTTGAGGGATCGAATAATGCTCGGGGAGATAACAATTTTTCATGGGGGCTAGAGCTATGCGTAGGAGAAATAGATACATGTGAACAATGTCTCAACAAACTTCACTATGGAAAGGAGTAAGGAACTAAGCAGAGGTCCTCGTTAGGTAGGAGACAACCCTTGAAGATAAGCTTTATATAATCATTGCACACAAGTTATCAAGAAAGGACAAAAGCTGAGGATGGTAGCAGAGCTACACAGAAGAGGACTATTCATAGACTGTCAACACTGGAATTTGAGGAAGGTTTTATAAGGAATGTCAAATTAAGCTTAAGGCAGGCATCCAAAGAGGCAATATTATCACATGACTCTTCTTAATGTGGTTGATGAGGAGCCAAAGATTGAAAAGGACATGCCAAATGGGATAATAGTAGTCTTCAAAGAACACAAAGATGTCTCCTCAATGAAGTTGCTTGAGGATCACCAAGAGGGGGTGAGTATGGTAGTAAAGCAGCTAAGCCGAAAACCAGACTTATTAATCACTAGTCCACGAATGAATGAAACCAAGTGGCAGATGGAACCAGATGGAAGATACTATTTGACTTAGGAGTTACTTGGAAGTCTAAGAATGACCAGTGGCACTACAAGATTGAGATCTAGAATTTCACTTACAAAAGGCGCTATGAGGGCATTACAAACATAGATGGAGGAGAATGTTATACCTTGCTAATGATCAATAAGGTTAACCAAGTTTTCTTGGTTTTGACTTGACAAGCATTGTCAATATCTTTTGGAATCATTTCGAAATATTCATTGTGTTTTAGAAAGTTCCATAAGGTTCTGCACAAGTCTAGATTCATACGGAAGGCTCGGGAAGGCACTGTAAGATTTTGGATGTTACAAAAATCTACAAGATTTTGAAATTCTCTGGAGCCTTCTCGATACTACATGAATAGTCTGGATCTCGCTATAATATTATGGATATTTTGGACTAGTGTAAAGTTGTAAAAAGTATCTAGATTCATGCAGTCGTGTCTTATGAATAATTTAGGATAGTTCATGATTATTATGATTTTTTTAGAGATGATACATAGTGTTCTAGAGTGTTTTTGAGAGATGGGTTCTAGATTTTTATTGGAGGGTTGTCCCTGGACTATAAATTGATGAAGGAACTCCCTCATTTGGTCAACAAGTGGAGTATTAGTCCTAATCTTTTAAAGCTTTTTCTTAGTAACAAAGTTATTTTCTCGTACTCTCACTTCTTGCCTTTCCAAAATTTTATTTTCTTAACTATCCTCTTGTAATAGTGAGTGGCGAGTAAGGCTTTGCCATTTTTGTGTGCTAAGGCTACGCGGTGCTTCAAGAAAATATAAGAGTATGACAGAATGCTTGTAAATTATTGATAGTTGATGGATGTAATTTTTAAAAGGATGCTTTGATCTTTAAGAAATTATGGTAATTTTCATGAACATGTGTAGGTTCTTTTTATGAACTTCTCTGAACTTGATCACTAAATTGTATTTGCAATGACCTTGTTTTCGTAGTGTTCTTATAATACTATATATATAAATATATATTGTGTCATTTCTTATTTT